CTACAGGTTTATATTTTAGCACAAGTCACAAGTAAATTCACAGAAGGTGAACTGTGGAAGGTATCAAGGCAAGAATTTCAGTGAACTAAATTAAGCTTTTTCTCTGAGAGCACTTTGCCATCATTACCCATGATGACAAGGAGCCTCAGTGTGACTTCTCCTCTTCTGGAATACATGTAAGTATCACCTTTTTTTTTTCCTTTGGCCTCTGGGAGCAGCATCTATCTTTTTCTCCTTTCTCCAAATCCTTCCTTGGACATTCACTGCTGTTGATCTCTGAGAAGGATAGATGCTAAGGCTTACCCCGCAGTATTTAAAGCCTACCACAACCTGGCCAAAGCATATCTTCCCATCTTATCTTTCCTTTCATGTGTCTAATACCAGCTCCATTGAAATACAATTATCCACTGATTTCCATCTAACCCATCTGGTTTCTTACCTCTGTGCCTATGTCATGCTGTTCTCTTTCTCTGGGCCTCCTTCCCCCACTCCCACACATTTACCATTTCTTCAAATTCTACTTATCTTTCATAAGTCAACCTCATACACCATGAAATCATCCCTGATCCTGCAAAAAGATCTGAGTATTATCTCTAGATTATCAGAACATTTTGCTTTCTTATGGTATGAGTCCTGCTTTGTTATATATTTGGAGTTAGCCATGTCTGCTTTCAATTTCTCCCTCTAGACCAATGGTTCTCAACCTTCCTAATGCTGCTACCCTTTAATACAGTTCCTCATGTTGTGGTGACCCCCAATTTCATTGTTACAAATTGAACATAATTAAAGCATAGTGATTAATCACAAAAACAATATGTAATTATATATGTGTTTTCCGATGGTCTTAGGCGACCCCTATGAAAGGGTCATTCGACCCCCAAAGGGGTCGCGACCCACAGGTTGAGAACCACTGATCTAGACTATGGTGAATTCCTGTTCTTCATTGTGTCTTATCATCTAGCATTAAGTATAGTTCCTGACACATACAAAGTATTGAATAAATGTTTACTAGTATAGAATAAATGAGTGAATGAAGGAATGAGTAAACGATATGTGGAAGAGCTCAGTGTTAATCTTTAGAGTACTTTCCCATTCCTGGCCTCCATATCCCACATGGGGTCTTATAAGTCATGGGTCTTGTCTTATTCCAATAAGAAAAAGGTTTTGCTATAACATCCCAAATATCTCAGTGGTCAGGTACACAGTAACTTATTTTCATTTCTCCACATTCAACTGTGAGCAAATGCCATGATATAGGGAGAAGAGTCTGTCCTGGGTTCAAATTCTGATAAAAATTATTACCCACTCTCTGAATGTAGGACAGATTACTTGCCCTCTCTGAGCTTTGTAGAGGAGTGTCTATTCCTGCCCTGCCTCCCTCCCAGTGCTGCTGTGAGGCCCCAGAAAGATATGGAATATACAAGGTCTTCCTTCTTCCTTCCTTCCTTCATTCCTACCTACCTTCCTTCCTTTTTTCTTTATTTTATTTCTTTCTTTTTGCAAAAATAGACTGTGGACTCAAGTGAGACATTGTCATGAACAAGGCAATTAATCTGGCTGGAATAAAGAGATCCAGATCTTGTCCTGGTTGGACCAGGCTGTTTTTTAAATCACTATACTGACTGAAACAACACCCTAGGACATGACTTTGAGTTATGTAATGACAGAACAATCGAAAGGGGGATGAGCGCAGATATGGTGGAGAGTCCAAGGTAGTTAGAGTGGCTAGTAACAAGCAGAAAACCGACACTGCCTGGAGTTGGTAATGAGATCATAGAGGCAATATTGCAGGGAAATGGAAGAGAAAATTGAACCAAAGTGTGAATTTTCAAGCAGTTTGGGGAAGAAGTGTGTGTGTGTGTGTGTGTGTGTGTGTGTGTCTGAGGGGATATCAGTGGTTATTAATAGCAATAATTCTCTTTTGTTCTTGTTAATCCTCACCCGAGGATATTTTTCCATTGATTTTTAGAGAAAGTGGAAGAGATGGAGATAGAAAAACATTGATGTGAGAGAGACACATTGAGTGGTTTCCTCCCACACGCTCTCCAACAGGGGCTTGGGTTGGAGCTAGGAACTGAAGCATGTGACCTTGACCGGAATCAAACCTGGGACCCTTCATTCCTTAGGTCGACACTCTATCCATTGAGAACACTGGCTAAGGAAATAGCAATAATTCTTGTCAGTTACATATTAACCCTCGACAACTTGCAAAGCATTCTCACCACCATCATCTCTGAAATCAGAAAAGAGTATTTCTACTTCCTAAGATAATCACAACTATAGTAGCACCTCTTTCTTAAACTTTCCTATCCTCTCCTCACTTCATCTTTTCTTTCATCCAATATTTTCTTTCAACCTGAGGAAAGTTGTAGAAAATGAGACTTGGAGAATTGAAGCAACTTGTACAAGGGGCAGAGCTGGAACTTGAACTTTATATCCTATTTTCTTTCATATCTACCTTTTTTTTCTTATGCATAAAAGCAACAATGCTCATTGCAGAATATTTTAGGAGAGGGGAGACCCAGACAAATATGAGGAAAACATAATCACTGAAAATTCAACCTCTCAAAGATAACCGTCAATATTGATTTAATCCATATTTCCTTCCAGCCTTTTTTCTATACAATTTGACACACTTGAGATTATGCTGAATCTAAAATTGTGTATTCCAGTATACTTTGTACTGCATCATGATCTGTGTAGTTCTCTTCTCTACTATTAACCCCCTGTGCATATTCTCTTTCAAACCCCTGTAAACTTCAAAACCCCCATTTTTCTAATAGGGTTTGTAGCAATGCTGCATCACACTCTTACAGCGAAAGTGAAGATCCTTTGTGATTATAAAGGTAAGAGTATTTTGAAAATCTCAGCATGTGATATGTGGAGAGGGTTTCAAGTGCAGGGCTTTGGATTAAACCAGTGGTAGACTACTCTCACCCCTTTTTTAGTAAGCCTCCTGTCCACTCACTGGAGATAAACCTTTCCAAGAGCCTCCCTGCCAACCACTATTTTGGCTGTTCTCTCTACCTCATATCCTTTCTTCTTAAGTTCTCTCTCTCCTGTCACCAATCCACCCTCAAGTGACCCTAAAGCAATAACCTTCAAGGGTGAATTGCATTTGATAATATTAAATATAACTTCAGAACATGAACAGGTTATCTTGTACTTTTCAAGCTCACAGTTTTAAAAAAACCACCTCTTATTCCCTCATATTTGTTTTTTTCCCTTTTGAGTTAATTATTGGTCTTCAGATGTTTGACTGTTTTTAATATTTCTATAGATGACAGAATCTGAAAAGGAGAGATCCTAGTGGAAAGAGTTCAAATCTATATAAAATAAACTCTCAGAAATATTCACCTATTGTAAGCTTATACTGAGGGACATGAAGTTGTATGATGGCCACCGTTGGCTTAATCCCCTGGGAATTTATATCACTCAGAATCTTATATTAATGCTTCATTGAGCTGTGAATGTCTGGTATTGGAATGAATAAGACACAGATAATTAGTTACTCCAAAGAGGGAAGAAGAGAGACTCTGTCTTCCTCGGGTACCCATGCTTTTGTTCTATTTAAATCAGTGGTTATATAGCTACTCATATTTACTTTCCACATCAAAGATTAATCCCATAGTACACAGCAGTATTTCTCAATGTATATGGTCCATGAACTGCCTATATCAGAAGTACTTTAGTTGAGACCTGGGAATCTGCATTGTAAAGGGATACCAGGTAATACAGATGTACACTAAAATTTGATCCCCAATGCTGCAGGCCCTGGATGTCATGGTTAAGGAAATTTTGGGTTCAGTGCTTACTGTTTCCCCTTCTTGGGAGAGTCATAATGCTCATTGAAAGTTCTGAGAAGTCCTTCTATAAATATCTTATGTTCAGTAAGATTAAATGAATTATGGCACAGTTACAACCAACTCTTATGCTATATTTTTTAAGTGAGGTAGTCCTCAAAATACTGAGAGGCAGCATGGTGTAGATGTTAAGAGCACAGGCTCTGGACCTAGAGAGGCCTGAACTCAAATACAACATATGTCATTTAATTGCTATGTGATCTTGAGAAAGATCTCTGAACCTATTTTCTTTTCTCTACAATGAAGATAGCAATAATAATAATACCTATGTCATGTGGTTATTGTGAGTTTTAAATGAACTAAAACATGAAATGCTTTTTAGAATTTACTTGGCACAAGGAAAATGCTCAATAATTATTTGCTCTGATGATCACTGACATGATATGTATATCATGCCTTAATTTGTGTGAATAAGCTATATATAATAAAAAATTTCATGGAAAAACAAGTGTGGAAGGATACTATTCTGTTAACAATAATTTTCTTTGGGGTTAGAGGTCAGGAGGGAGTCACACTGCCAGTTTTTACTTTATATACTTTGGTAAGTTATTTTTTTTTTTTAAGAAAATTCACATTTGGGAGATAAAAAGAATCTTGCCCAGAACTGAACTCCAGTATGGTCTGGACAATAAGCAATAAGGAATACTCAAGTGGAAGCATGGTTGTCTCTTATTTTTAAAAGAGGCACACTCTTACTCAATTTAGGTTCTTTTTTTTTTTTTTTAACCAGCCTCACCATTCTTCTGACTCATTGAGCTATCTGCTTGTTGACCCCCTTGGCTTTCTGCACCCTGATGGTTGCTCTGTATATAAATCTGTCTTTGTTCATGTGAATTTTAGATTCTTTGTTCATGTGAATTTTAGGTTCTTGAAATGTAGCTGGACACTACATTTCATAGATATCAGCTGATAATCCAGGTTACTGATATTGTTTTAAATCCTGATTCTCTCATCCAGTCTGTCAGCTGGACCCTCTAGCTTCCCAGCATCCTCACTCTCAGAGAGAATGTCATCTTGATCTTTGTGTGAATTGTGGATAAGAATGATGACTTGACTAGGACTTAGAGAGATCAGATACTTGTTAATAAAGACCCTGATTTACATATCAGCAATCTCCTGGAAGCTCTGCAGTCTTACCTGCAGCCTGTATTTGTTCACTTGATCTACAAAAGGCTCATGAGAGCCTAAGTCCAAAGCCTTGTTAAAATCCAGATGCATCCTGTCTGCAACATTCTCCTGATCCACAAGCCTTGTAACCTTATCAAAAGAGTAAATTAAGTTAGTTCTGCCATGACTTGTTTTCCTAAAGGCCCTACTTAGTGTTATTACTAAAAGAGATTTGATTTGAGCCCAATTGTGGTTTCAATTTAGACATATTTACTGTATTTCCCTACCTGCTCAGTGTCCTCCCTGTCCCCCCAAGGCCTTCCTGGTGGCTGGAGGTAATTGGATATATAAATTCATGCAAAAATACTAATGGAAAACAAGGGCTTATCTGTACTGTTTGCAATGTAGTAGCAAGTAAGAATTATCCCAAAAGTAAAAATGTTGACATGTACATGTGAATTTTGGATTCCTAGTGCTTGGAATTGCATTGTTATAAATGGAAGGCATATTTTGGGTAAAGGATCATTTTTATGTTCTTCATACTACAACAAGAAGATCATCATTCTACCTGTGGCCTGAGTTTAGTAATGGAGGACTGTATTAGTTTCCTATGGCTGCTGTAACAAATTACCACAAGTGTGGCCCAACACAATAGGAATATATTATCTCACAATCAAAATCTTCGCAGGGCCAAACTCCCTCCAGAGGCTCTAGGGGAGAATTTGTTCTTTGCCTCTTCCAGCTTATGGTGGCTGCTGTCATTCCTTGGTTTGTGGCCACATCACTCCAGTACCTGCATCCCTGGTCATATTGTCTTTTCCTTTCCTTCTGTATATAATCAGCCTCTGACTCACTCTTATAGGAACACTTGTATTTAGAATGCAATGTATAATCCAAAACAGTCTCTCCATCTCAAGATCCTTAATCATATCAACCAAGTCTCATTTAAAGTAATATTCACAGATGCTTGGAATTAGAATATAGATATTAGGGGTAGAGGAGTATTCAGCCTGCCACAAAGTCTAATACCAAGTGACTAGTGCTTTTCCTTGTCATACTTTACTCAACCTCTCAATTTATCTAAGTGTGAAGCAGACAACTGAAATAGAGAAAAGCAAAGTATTGCAGAAGATGTCACTAGCTTTCTTTCCCTTTTTTGGTCCCTGGAGGTATGTCCAATTGTGTATCTGTTCATGTACCTGCTCATGTTCTGACTATACACACTCTGCTTGGAAAGAATGCAGTAGAATCCACTCCTGAAATTCATCTTTACCAGTTTCACTCATTTGTGTGGCTGTCGACCTCCACAGCATAATCGCTGACGTAGGTTGAAACTTTAACGGGGGGAGGGGGGGAGATTGATTGGCTCACCAATAACATTTGTCTCTTGGGCTGGCAGTGAGCATAGAGGAGCCATTTATGCAATCTAATTATTACGTCAATTGGGGGATGGAGTAATGTTTCCCAGATGCTATTTGGCACCTGGAGAGCTGCAAATCAGCACTACAATATAAGAAACATTAATATAGACCATTGATTGGATTCATTGATTCTACCCTCTTCCCCTCCCCCCTTTGGCTTCTTGTTTTGGTTTGGAGTAAAATGCAAAAGCTTTGCTTTAACTCTTCTAGCTGCCATGTTCGGACAGGGGACTGGATTGATTAGATGTCTTTTACAATTAAATGTACTTAAAGAATGATGTGCATTTCTGAATTGCTGTCCCTTTTCCTGACCTGTGTAATTCAAAATATTAGTGGCCAGTGGGAGTGAGATACAGGCTCTAAAGCAGTGGTTCTCAACCTTCTGGCCCTTTAAATACAGTTCCTCACGTTGTGACCCAACCATAAAATTATTTTCATTGCTACTTCATAATTGTAATGTTGCTACTGTTATGAATCATAATGTAAATATCTGATATGCAGGATGGTCTTAGGAGACCCCTGTGAAAGGGTCATTCGACCGCCAAAGGGGTCACGACCCACAGGTTGAGAACTGCTGCTCTAAAGGAACCTGAAATAGGCTGGGGATAGAGGGGCAGCGGAGGAAGAGTAATGGGCAAAGATGCTTTTGTGAAATCTGCATCCAGGGCCTGTGGAATATGTATTCAGAACTTTTCACCAAACCCTTTGTGCTCATTGCTATGTGAGTTCCTTGGTATTAAAGCATTATAAGCTCCAAAGAGGACTTTATTATTTAATAATTCTTTTTATTAATAACTATGGTTTGGGATTAGCCTTAACACTCAGTAGGGGTCCTCAAACTTTTTAAACAGGGGGCCAGTTCACTGTCCCTCAGATCGTTGGAGGGCCGGACTATAGTTTAAAAAAAAAAAACTATGAACAAATTCCTATGTACACTACACATATCTTATTTTGAAGTAAAAAAACCAAAACGGGAACAAATACAATATTTGTATTTGCATGTGGCCCGTGAGCCGTAGTTTGAGGACCCCTGCTTAACAGCATGCAGGACCCTACAGCCTAAGGAAAGAGGATGTTAGGATATTGGGGATGTTTATTATAGCCCATTTCCTTCTCATTCTCCTTTCCCAAATACTTATCCCTTGCATAGGCAGATCCCTGAAATTTCTTTAGCAATTGACAAAGCCTTTCATTCCACAATTGGAGAAAAAAATAGGCTTAAAATTTTAGCTAAGCCCAGGAGAAGGCACATTTATATTTAAACTTATACTAAATAGTAAATGACTGCTACTATACACTCCTTGATGATTTCCCAGATTTGAAAAGGACTTCACAGCCCCTAACCCCAGCTCCTAATTTTAAGGAGGATGAAATTGAGAATTGACTTGCCCAAGGTCTTACAGCAATTTTGGAGCAGAATCTTTTCTGGAAGAAAGATTTAATAAGGGAGTACCTTAAGAGTATTGAACACAGACATTTCTGATTGGTTTTACCAGTGGCCAGTTTTGGAGCATTCCAAAGCCAACTAAAACATCAGGTCCATCCCTAAAGAACATAAAGTAGTCAATCACCAATGATTAAAACAAACTTCCCTTGGCCCTGCCCTGGTGGTACTCATCAAAGCCCATATATCTTATTCCTCTTTGTCCCCTTAGCATCTAGCAGAGTGCTTGCCACATAAAAGGCACTCAGCAAATGTTTGATGAATGACTAAATGACTCCAGAAATAGGGAAGGCCTTACACTGAACTCTCTATACTCTCTCACTCTGCCTCCTGTGTATACATTGCTTAAATGGCTGCCTAGGTTTGGGGCTTTGTCCTTGACTGGCACTGATAATAGTGTCAGTGGTCAGCAAAGTGAAAGCTACCCAGTCTATTCAGGCTTGAACCCACAGTCTTAGTCTTCCTTGAAGCATATAAGGAACTCATCGGACTATAGTCTGAAATATAAGAAACAAAGATCATGAGATCCACGTGTCCATAGTCCAGAGCCACCAAATCTATCTCTAGGCATTGTGAGCATCCTAAGGCAAGAAATATAACTTCCAGTTGAGAGCCAGCACACCTTTCCCAACAAACATCTTTCTTAGAAACATCATTATCTTAGAAGAAACTCTTTCCTGGCTTCGGCTTGGGCTACAGGAAAAGAATAGAGAGGTCACCATAGGGTTTTGGAAAAGCCACTTGGATACTCGTGGCTTGTGGGAAAGAAGTAATAAGAGTTTATCCTATCAGGATCTGCCCTTAGCTTCAATCCTATAGTGCCTACTCCCACCAGTTCTACCTGCTGTTCTTCCCCTTTGCTGGTTCACCTGCACTCACCTGCAGGGGCTGGGCTTGGGAATGGCTCTTGGCCTCCCAGTATGCCTACCTCTCATCAGGCTGCCTTGATTAGGTCCCACTGCTAATGCCTTCTGTGCTTCATAGAAAAAATTTTCAGTCAGGGATGACAATAGGGAGATAGGGAAGCCCTTGGTTAAAGCTACCCATCAACCTCAGAGGAAAACAGGATCCAGCAGCCAAATACACTTCTGTTGGCTGATGGCTCAGCATTGGTTGAGAGTTCAGAGAGCCTTTAGTTGGCCTGAACCAATGAAAAGGAGCCAAATATGCAGTCTCTCTATCCATTAAAGAGATATTTCCACCTATGATTGGCCCCAGGGTACTTCATCTCAGGGTTCTCCTATTGGCTTGGAACAGCATGCTGGCAGCCAGGGCACCCTGTGCTGAGCAGGCACCTACGTAGGCATTCAGTCAGGCACAGCCTGCTGCTGGGCACTCAGGGGAGATGCAGACAGAGCAGGAGGTATCAAGATCCTCCCTCTGCTTAACTGGTGACATCTTGGTGGCCCCACCCACTTTTCCATTTTGTGCTTTCCCCTTGGGCTGAGACTGCTCCCTTTCCTGGTCCCATTTCCCAAAGGACTTCGATTCCCAGGTATGGTGGTGACTGGCAACACAAGGGTAAGAAGTAGCCTTTTATCAGGATTATTTGCATTGTCATAGATGATTCCTGAAATCTGAAAGGCTCTGATGGTCCAAAGAAATTATAGATTCATAAAATTTTTGTGCCAAAATGAAACTTTGAAATTGTTCCCATTTTACAGATAAGGAAGAAAACTGAGGTGAACTCAGGGAGGTAATAAGGTTTGGTCAAAGTCATATAGCTAGCTAGTGGCAAGTCTCCTGACCATAGACAAGGGCACTTTCTGATGCATCACAAATGAATCTAGAACTGTGGTATTTCATGTAAGGGCACCTTTCTATTGTTCTACATACCACATATTTTCTTTCCCTGAGAAACTCCTAGTCCCTCTGGGGAGCTCTTTGGACCACAGATAAGGCATGACTAACTTTCTCAATGAGTTTTCAGCTCTGTCTTCAGTGGTGAAGAAGGAGGTTTGTGCCATAGGCATTTTTCTCATTTCTTGTGATTACCAACCCAAAGTAGTGAATTGACTGTTACCAGGGTTCTGGAGTCAGGAGTCATGCAGTCCGTTCTCTAAATAAGAAGTTGTCTAACTGGGGACTTTAGCCACTAGCACCCCGACAATTGAGCCATCACTGTTCAAGATACAACATAGAAGCATGTCAATTACTAAATTGAAAAAGGGCTGAGCCTAAGCTGCGGTCTTATTAATATGAGTGCTTTATTTTTTATGCATTTATCTTCTAAATCCCCTTTAGGTTAGAGACCAGGGTTTTTTTTGTTCACATGTAAAATGAACTTCTGGAGAGTCCTGAAATACTGGCTAAGGGTAGCACTACTCTGTATCACCAACAACAAAACCATAAAGGGATTTTGATTGCTCAGTCCAGCCTCCTCTCATTGCTTATGTTTCTCTAATATGTCTGACTTCCTTACTTCCTTATTTTCTTTTTCCTGTACTTTTAAGGGCCAGCTTAAGTCCTGTCTTCTGTGGGAGCCTTACCTCATTGGTCTTGTCCACATCAATCTCTAACTCCTTTGGATTCTTACTGTCTTTCCAATTTGTCTCAAGAAATGACATTTAATTCTTTCATTTTTTATTTTTCACTATTGGTTTCATGTATATCAGTCTCATCTTCTCAACCAGTTGTAAGTTCCCTAAGGGCAAGCCACATATTTTAGACTTTTTAGTGTGCCCCATGATGTTTTGTGCACATTCAAATTAGACTAGAATCAACCGTGTAATGACTTAGAAATGCTCACAATATATTTAAGTGTATAACTCTAAATATAAAACACTCATAACAATTTTGTAAAGAGGTGGAAAATAAAAATACGCAAATGAAAAGGAAATACATTTAAATGTGCAAGGGCTAGAATGATAGGTGAGTGTAAACTTTCATATATTTACCTGCTTTTCCAAATTTTCAGCAAGGAGCATGCATTACTTTTATGAGGAAAAATAAGCATTTTAAAAAGAAAATCATACTAGAGACCTATATAATTTTATTAACCAAGGCCACCCCAATAAATTCAATAAAAATTTAAAAAGAGAAGAACATAATAGATTCATGGGTGATGAAAAATAGAGCAGGAAGAGATCTTAGATATCATGTAAGTCCTATTTCTTGTTTTAAGTTTGAAAGCCTGGGGCATTGCTATAGGAGATAGCAAGCTAGTAACTCCACCTCCACTTTCTGGAAGCAAACAGCTCAATATCCTGGAGCTCTGAGTCTGAGCCTTTTAACCTCTCCTCAAATACAGCTTCCCCTTTGGGTTTGCCCTCTAGGCATTGTGATTTTTCTCAGGTTTAATCTTCCCATGATTCCTTGGTGTGTCCTGGGTAAGGGATCCTGAAAGCTTGGCTTTGACTCATGCTTTAGTCCTTTGATAGCGTCTTCTGGAACCCCCTGCTTTGCCTCTGGAGCATCCCAGAAAAACAGGATATAATACCCTTATCCCCAGGTGACTGGAAAAAACTCCTACCTTTATCCTTATCTAGTAATATAAACTCATTTTACTGAGTACTTGCTGGGGAGAATAATTTCAAACTCACTGCCACTCAATATCTTTGCAAAGCCTGGCTAAAAGCAATACTATTTAAGGAGGACCACCTGAAGATACATGTAGCCCATCCATTCCTTTCATATTGGACCCAACAAAATAGACGTGGGTACTTGTCATGCTCTTCTTTCCCTTATAGTTAAGCCTGCTTCACCCATAGTCAAGAAAAAAGCTGGCTGTTTTATGCACAGGAGTGGTCACCTGAAGCAAGCAAGGCAGGCCATTCATGATGAGGTAGCAGACTTATGTGGTGGATTTTACTAACAGTGTTCTTCTTGCCAGCAGTGGAATCTAATGTGCCCACAACTGGGAACTCTTGGGTAAAACTTTGAAGACTCTTGTTAAATACACCTTTGTCACTTATTTGAGAGGATAAACATACACAATGCATTGCATCCATCCATGCTTCCATCTATCCACCAAGCATTGGGTTCCTACTACAGGTTATTAATTCTTATTTGTACTTCTCAAAACACAAAGCTCTGAAAAAATGCTTTCTCACAAGTTTGATGCTAACACTCATTTTAACTTATATTAAAATATTGATAGTCTTTATTTTATTTGTCTCACTTATTATGAATATTCATGTATTTCATGACAGAAATATTAGTGTATTGTGGAGCTATGGCACAACCTACTAGAGATATGTAACAAAGGCAAATACACAGGATTACTCTGATAAAATTCCCCAAATTATGAGTTCTGAAACATATCTGGCCCCAAGAATTTTGGATAAGGCCTTTTAGCCCTGTAACATTTGGGGACAGTGTGAGGGTGGATAACCTACTTGAGTCAGCCAGGAGCAGAGGAAGCTGCACAGTGAAGGGAATAGATATTCAAGTCTTTGGAGAAAGAGGGCTTGTTGAGGTTCAAGCAAAAGAAACCCAGTTGGGTCACTCAGTCATTGGCTCAAATGACATGAACAAGGCTGAAAATAGAAGGCAAATAAATGACTCAGAAGAAAGATAAAATTGAAATGGAACAGGAATAGTTCAAGAATGGGAATAATGCAAAGGGGCCTAGTAGCAGCAAGGATAGTATCTTTGACTCCAGTCAAATGGCTGATGGCTGTTTAGGTACAAGTGTGGGTCAAACTGGCTTTAAAGATGGAAAGTTGTGGCAGATGGATACAGAGAGGAATGAGACACATTAGTCTGAGACAAAGATTTGTTTTTTACTCTTTTTACATTTGTATTTTTAAAACTTTTTCTTGCTTGTGAAATATACAATACATAAAGAAAAGTGTATAAATTATAAATGTATAGCTTAGTTAACCATCACCCAGTCAAAATATAGAATATCAGCACACCTGATGCCCAACTTGTGCCCCTTCCCTAATCACAACATCTTTCCTCCCTCATATAGTTAAAAACTATTCTGACTTCTGCATAAATCACTCTGTGTTTTTATTTATACTTGTGCTCCTTAGCATTCCTCCCTAACCACTATAGTTTTACCAGTTAGTGGTTTCCATATAATCATTCGGTATATACTCTTTTGTATCTGCCTTCTTTCATTCAACATTTTTGTGTGTGAGATTCATCCATGTTTTTGCATGAAGTTTATTTTGTTCCTTCTTATTGCTGTATAATTTTTCCTTTTGTGAATGTGCCACAACTTATTTATCCATTCTACTGTAAATGGATATATGGACCATTTCTTGTTGGAGTTATTACGAACAATATTACTGTGGATATTTTTGTTTTACTTTTGGTGTACATGTGCATGCATTTCTGTTAGCAGCAGAATCACTGAGTCATAGGGGCTTCCCACGTTCCACTTTGGTAGATGCTGCTAAACAGTTTTCCAAAGTGTTATGCCAATTTACACTCTACCATTGCTCCAAATTATCATCAACACTTAGTATTGTCAGCTTTTATAATTGTGATAATTCTGGTGGGTGTGCAGTGCTATCTCATACTGGTTTCATTTGCATTTCTCTGGTGACTAATAAGATTGAGCACTTTTCTTTTTTTATATATTTTTATTGACTTCAGAGAGGAAGGGAGAGGGAGAGATAGAAACATCAATGATGATAGAGAATCATGGATCAGCTGCCTCCTGCAAGCCCCCCACTGGGGATCGAGCCCGCAACCCAGGCATGTGCTCTTGACTGGAATCAAACCCAGGACCCTTCAGTCCGCAGGCCGATGTTCTATCCACTGAGCAAAACTGGCCAGGGCAAGGTTGAGCACTTTTCAATTATGTTTATTGGCCTTTTGGATAAACTCTTTTGTATAATTCCTGTTTAAATATTTTGTCCAATTTTTTTCTGCTATATTTCCCTTTACTTATTCATTTGTAGAGTTTCTTTATACATTCTTTTTAAATTAAATTTATTGGGGTGACATTGGTCAATATGAACATATAAGTTTAAGGTGTGTGTTTCTATGTTATAAGATCTGTATATTATACCATGTAACCACCATCCAAAGTCAAATCTTCTCCTGTCACCTAGATGCAAGCTCTTTGCTTTTTATATGTGTTACAAATAAAGTCTCTAGCAATGCAGATTCCCATTTAATACTCTTGAGCCTCATTTTCTTCTTCTAATTTCTATTAGGCTCCCCAGACCCAAATGACCCCCATTTTCCCAAGTCTTAACAAGCTCACATATGTCCTAGGGTACACCTCCCTGATGCTGCAGGGCTATTTCCTTCACCTTCCCTTCCTTTTTTTCTGTCTATCACCCCCACTTATCTTCCTTGTCTCCTTCCTTCCTTCTTTTTTCTTCATTCCTTCCTTCCCTCCTCCTTTCCTCCTTCCTTCCTTCCTTCCTTCCTTCCTTCCTTCCTTCCTTCCTTCCTTCCTTCCTTCTTTCCTTCCTTCCTTCCTTCTTTCCTTCCTTCCCTTTTTCCTTCCATTTTTGCCTGCCAAAAGGGCTGCTTATTATTCACGGGATGGATGAAAACAACCTTATTTCAGCAATTGTGCTAACACTGTCAGATTTGCCATGTGCTACTCATAGGTTAGGAAATCTTCACTCTGAAAAGCACTTGGATATCATGCAGTTCTCTCTTTAATGATGAGAAATTGAAAGTTCAGAAAAATTAAGGGACTTGCCCAAGGTCACACTGCAAGTTCATGGACAAACTAAGACTAGAACCCAGGACCCTTGCATGCATGCCTGAGAATTTTCCACTCCATTATGTTAAGAAAGACCAAGGCACACATACCTGCACACTGACAAGTGTGTGTGCGTGTGTGTTTATTTCTGAAAATAAGTGCTGTCTGTGTCTGTGTAACAGCATAATCGGTAGAGACTATGGCTCATGCCTGTCTGGACCTAGGTTGAAAGATCACATCACCACTGCTACTTTTCCATCTCTTGGCTGTCAAAGTCTGAAGGACAATAAATGGCTTGAGTAATGAGATGAGTTAAGATAGTGTCTCCCACGCTGAATTATGTGCCAGTTCCAGGACTACAGGATTCTGCCACAATCCATTTACACAAGAAATTAAATTGAAGATCGCAATGTAATATTCATATATTAAATCCTGGCGGACAATCAAAGTAATTAAGGCCAAATGCTCTGAATCATCCTGTGGCGTCACGAACATTCTATTGTTGGGTTTTTAGAAGGACTTATTTCTACCACCAATTATCTTGGAAATCATTAAAACTCCTTTGGAATGTGAATAATTTGAAAGCCATCACAGTACCCAATACTATTCAACTCCCTTTGCCCCCATGAAAGTGGAATTCTGCTAGAAAGGGGTGTTAGATGGACAAGGAAAGTCTGATTTCAAGACACTAGAGTTAGAGAAACAGTCTCTGACCAACACTTTCATTGTATTTTTTAAAGGAGTGGCTAAATTCCATCTTAAATTGAAATAGTTAAACTGATACTGGCTTCTAGGCTAACCCCAGCCACAAACTGATCTGCTTGTTGTGTAGCTCTGTGGCTATTACATATATATGCTACTTATTTTAAAACAGAGCTTTGGGAATGGGGATGGCTCCATGTAGCCCCACAGTGCTGAATAGGACTGACATTCAGACCTTCTCCCACCCAT